ATGCCGTGAAGAGACACGAGCCAAGTTCACAACCTTGGTGACAGCAGAAGAGTTTATCACAGTGGATGAAGTCCAAGCTCCAGTCCAGTGGCAGGGCCAAGGTTAAAGAGATTTATTAACGGGACCAGCAGGTGGTGTGGTGGTTAAGGTGCTGGACACTCCCACGTGGCCAACCATGGTTCGAGTCCCAGACCTGGCGGCTTCCTTTATCCCTTTCTCTCTCTCTCTCTCTCTCTCTCTCTCTGGTCAAATTAAGATAAATGAATGAATAAATAAAATTAAATAAATAATAATTTTTAAAAAAGAGAGATTTATTAACACCGGGCCGTAATTAGAAATGAGAACCGCGAAGTCTCCCTGGCAGTGCAGAAAGTATGTAGGAAAAAATGATGCTCAAGACCAGCTCTGGAGTCTGATTGTTAAGGGAGCTGGAACTCGCATGGCCAACCATGGTTTGAATCCCAGCCCCGGTACCTTGAAAAGCACACCGGACACGTGTGTATGCGTGTGGACCCAAAATCCCAAGAGGAAGGAGAAACGGAAGAGAAGGGGTCACAGTTTGACCCTACTGCACTGGGGGGTGCTCTCTCTCTCCCGATCTGTCTCTGTCTGATTACTGTGTACACCTTCTGGCAATAATAAAGAGAGGGGCCGGCAGGTGGCGTGGTGGTTGGGGGCACTGGACTCCCACATGGCCAACTGTGGTTTGAGTCCCGGACCTGGAGGCTTGCTCTCTCTCTCTCTCTCTCTGGAAATATTAAAATAATAATAATAAATAAAGTTAAATGAAATATTTAAAAGGAAAAAAAAAAGAGAAAACGATGTCGAAATGAGAACAGTAGAATCTATCCTGCTTCATTCATTGTAAGAACTACTTCATACATACAGAATGGTGTAAGGAAAACGCTGGGGACCAGCAGTTAGCATAATGGCTATATTCCTGGACTCCCATATGGTCGACCACGGTTCGAGTCCCGGACCCAGCGGACTGAACTCACGCCAGGCGCGTGTGCGTGCATGCCCAAGATCCCGAGAGGTGAATGGAGGAGAAGGCATTGTGGCGTGACCATCCCCTGGGAGGGTGATTTCTTGCTTTCTGTCTCTCTCTGTCTTTCTGGCCCACGGAAAGAAAAAATCTCTCAAAAAAAAAAAAAAAAAAAGAGAGAAAGAATTATTTAGTTTTATTTATTGTTATTTGTTTAAAGAATTATTTTATTTAACTTTATTTATTCACTTATTTTAATTTGACCAGAGAGGGAGAGAGAGAGAAAGTGAGAAAGCAAACTGCCAAGTCTAGGAATTGAACCGCAGTTGGTCATGTGGGAGTCAGGCACCCTTAACCACCACGCCAACTGCCGGCCCCATTATTGTTATTAATTTTAAATGTAATGAGAGAGACAGAGAGAGAGAGAAAAGGAAAGTGAGAAAGCAAACTGCCAAGTCTAGGAATTGAACCGCAGTTGGTCATGTGGGAGTCAGGCACCCTTAACCACCACGCCACCTGCTGGCCGCGTGCTTATGAGACCTTAACAACAAGAGAACAGTTCCTTCTCTCCCTGGAGACAAATACAGTTACTGAAACAAAACCTCAATGACAGTATTCTATGCGTAGGGCACGGTTCATCCCTATCACAACAAACCCCCATTGAAACCTCAGCGCTATTCTGAACAAGGCAGAAAGCGTTTCCTTGTACCATTCACAGGGATGGGAAGGATCAGCTGAGAACCTGGAACCTCTGGGTTTTTTTATATATATATGCAGAGAGGTTATTTTGCTCGCGGATGCTTGAGCTCGCTGGAGAGACAGAGAGACAGAAAGTGAGAACAGCCCCTGAGGGAGATGGCCACACTGCAATCCCTTCTCCTCCATTCTCCTCCTGGGATTTTGGGCATGCATGCACACGCACCCAGTGTGAATTTTAAGCCACCGGATATGAGACTTGAACTGCAGTCAACTATATGACAGACCATTGACATAACCATTACACCACCTGCTGGTCCCAACAATTCTTCAAAAATAAATAATTCTTTAAAAAAAAAAAAACAATTTATTGGTCCCACCAGGTGCAGCGGTGGTTCAGGATACTCCCACATGGCTGACCGCGGTTCGAGTACCGGACATGGTAGCTTGCTTTCTCACTTTCCCTCTCTCTCTCTATATCTCTCTCTGGTCAAATTAAAATAAATGAATAAATAAAATTAAATAATTATTAAGAAAAATACCATCTATCTTCCTTTTTTTATTTTGTTTTCTTTTTTTGCTATAGAGCAGGTACTCACTGGAGACTGAGACAGAAAAAGATAGGAAAATTTAAAAATCGCCCTTCCGGAGGAATGGTCACACTGCAATCCCTTAGCCTCCGTTCTCCTTTTGGGATTCTGGGCCTGGACGCACACACCCAGTGTTCTCAAGCCGTCAGTCCGGGACCCTGGCCATGCCATCCGCCACGTGGGATCCAGACACCTTAACCTCCACCTCATCTGCTGGTCCCCCTCGCTTCTTTCTTTCTTTCTTCTATAGGCATGAGAGACAGAGAGAGAATGAAAGAGAGAGAGAGGGAGAGAGAGAGACAGCAGTCCCGCCAAGCTCTTGCTGCTCCACCCGCCCCCAGCCTCAGCCGGCCCCACATCATGGGCGCGTGAATGCACGGTATACCACGGAGGTCTCCAGATGAGCACCCGAAACCTTCTGGCACCCCTTCTCTCTCTCTTTCTCTTGCCATCCCATAGCTCGTTTCCACTGCCCCCCCTTTTTTTAAATGTTGTCATTATTTCATTATTTATTTATTTATTTATTTATTTATTTATTTTTGATGTTGACCAGAGAGAGACAGAGAGAGAGAAAGCAAGCCGCCAGGTCCAGGACTCAAACTGTCGTCAGCCATGTGGGAGTCCAGCCGCCTTCAGCCACGTGGGAGACCCCACATTTCTTTTTTTTAAGTTTCTGGGTATATATGCTCACCAGAGAGGCAGACACCCAGTGAGAAATCACCCCTCGGGGAATGGCCACGGTGCAATCCCTTCACCTCCATTCTCCTCTTTGGGATTTTGGGCACGCACGCACATGCACACGCACCTAGTGAGTTTTTTCTTTTTTTTTTTTTTTGGAGAGGTTTTTTTTGGCGCGTGGGCTCGCCAGACAGACAGAGACAGAGAGATAGAAAGCGAGAAATCACCCCCCCAGGGGGGATGGCCACGCCGCAATCCCTTCTCCTCCATTCTCCTCTCAGGATCTTGGGCACGCATGCACTTGTGTCTGGCGTAAGTTTAAGCCACCGGGTCCAGGACTTGAACCGCGGTCCACTACATGGGAGTCCAACGAACGACGCAGTCATTACGCTAACTGCGGGCCCCTCCCATCATTTACTGAACAAAGTACAAAAGGGAAAATTTCCCCCAGACTCTGTTCTGACACTATGGCAGCCTCAAACACAAACTCCCGGGGTTTCTTCCAAGTAATTCACAATTCAAGTGGGAAGCTGATTTCCTGGTGAAAAAGATGTATAAACCAAAGATCCTTTGAAAAGAAACGAGCTTTATTTTCAACACTATTTTTTTCCTCCCTCCAGGTTTACCTACAAGTCAGAGTTTCAAAACCACAACAAATCAAAGAGCCGTGGGATTCGGGCACCCGCCACCAACTGGAATGCTTGGCTGTACAACCAGGCCTCCTGTGCAGAGAAGCTTCTGGGGAAAGTGCCGCATTCCCTAGGCTGAGCCTCACTGGAGATGCAGGGTCAGTTTCAAACATGGCCCCAGATTTACTGCCACATAATAAAATCGCCTTTGTTTTAGAAACTTAATAGTCCCCCAAAGTCAAGTAACAAAGTGCTGCAAGGCGGAGGACAATTCCTCTTAACACCCTGTCTGCTCTTGCCAACGAGCTCTCGGCCCTTCTCTATAGAAATCTGCAATACTTCACTCGGACCGCTCATCATTCTGGTAACAGTTTAGTGGAAGAACCAGCAGATGGCGGAGTGGTTACGTCACTGGACTCCCACAGGGTCAACTATGGTTCGATTCTTGGACCCGAAGGCTTGAAACGCTGGCCGGGTGCGTGTGCATGCGTGCCCGAAATCCTGAGAGGAGAATGGAAAAGGGATTGTGGCGTGGCCATCCGCCCTAGGGAGTGATTTCTAGTCTTTCTGGCGAGCACACACGCCCTATAGCAAAAATCTTTTTTTTTTGTTTTTTTAAAAAACAGCTCAGTGTCTAAACACAAAGGCTGGTGTTGTGTTTAGCACTGGGGAGCAATCTAGATGTAGCGTCACACAGGGTCCCTGGTTGGCCTTGGATCTGTGGTCAGACCCAGCAAGCGACATTGAACTTGCATGTTATTTAGGAACACTGTCCAAAAACGAGACCACATTAAACTTAAAAGCCTCCTCTGCTTAGATCATCAAAAAAGGGTGTTTAAAAGTCTATATGAGAGTCAGCAGGTGGTATAGTGGTTTAGGCGCCGGACTTCCATGTGGCCAATCATGGTTCAAGTCCCGACCCTGGCAGCTTGAAACTCATGTCAGGTGCATGCGCATGTGTGTCCCAAACCCCAAGAGGAGGATGGAGAAGAGGGGGCTGTGATGTGGTCATCCCCGTTGGGGGGGTGAATTCTCACTTGCTCTTTCTCCAGCAAGCACAGGCGCCCCATAGCAAAAATCTCTCAAAGATTAAAAAAAAAAAAAAAGCCTGTATGATAGAGGGCCAGTGGGTCTTAACCACGGTTTCTCGCAAGGCCGACCGCAGTTCGAGTCCCAGACCTGGTGGTTTGAACACGTGTGTGCGTGTGGGCCCGAAATCCCAAGAGGAGAATGTAGGAGAAGGGATTGCGGTGTAGCCATCTCCCCTGGGGGATCATTTCTCATTTCCCCTCTGTCTGTCTTTCTCAGCAAGCACAAGCACCCTATGGCAAAACATTAAAAAAAAAAACCAAAAAACAAAAACGTCTGTATGATGCATACAGAAAGGATGACGGTGGGGAACCAGCAGTTAGCGTAATGGCTGCGTGATGCATACAAGAAAGGATGACGGTGAATAACAAATCAGGAAATTCCTAGAAATGGGTTTTTCATAAAAGCTGGGGAGCGGCGGGGTCCAATATGATGAAATAATCTAGACACGTCTTTAATCCACAGGGAATACAACTGGATCTCGGCCCCTGACACACGCATAAGCCCTCCGGAAACCTCTTTAGGTGGACAGCATTCCGATTCAGAGACCAGAGTGAAATTATCTTGGCAAACAGCGCCGTGGCTGGGAAACCGAGTACATCTTGGCGCACGTTTTTCCACCCACCACGGACTTGGGTTTTCTGGGAAGGTCACTGGTGTCCTGGTTGGAAACATTCGTGAGGTCGTCAGGAATGGAGGAACGGAGACTCGGCATCTGGGAAGGTGAGTTCCGGGTTGTCTCCGGTGCTCAAGAGCCGAACAGCCTGAGAAAGGCAGAGAGCAGAAACACCCGTGAGGATGTGAAATGACAGCTCTAAAGATACTGGGACCAGCAGGGGGCATAGTGGTTACATCGCTGGACTCCCATGTGGCAGACTGCGGTTCGAGTCCTGGACCCGGTAGTTTGAAACTCACTCTGGGTGCGTGCGCTTCAGTGCCCAAAATCCCGAAAGGAGAATGGAGGAAAAGGGATCGAGGCCTAGCATCTCCGAGGAGATGATTTTTCACCTTCTGTCTGTCTATCTTGGTCAAGCACACAGGCCCTATAGCAAAAACCTCTCCAAAAAAAAATAAATAAATAAATAAATAAAATAAATCAATAATAAAAATACTGGGACCAGGGGCCGGCAGGTGCCAAGGTGATTAAGGGCACTGGACTCCCACGTGGCCGACCACAGTTCGAGTCCTGGACCCAGTGGCTTGCTTTCTTTCTCTCTCTCTCTCTCTGGTTAATTAATTAATTAAAAAATAATTAATCAATTAATTAAGTTAAATAAAATAATTCTTTAAAAAAAAAAAAAAAAACGCTGGAACCAGCAGATGGCATCGT